AGCGTTTTTTTTTGACGCTCTCCATTTCAGAAGGACTCGTCGGAGTGTGTTTCTTGCTAATGCCGCCCGAGTTGTTTTTCTAAGCAGTGAAACTATATCGGGTTAGTTCGCGGGCGGCCGCGTGTCGGATTAAAAGCGATCGCCGATGGTTAATTGGAGATTACACTCAGCGCGCGCGACTAGGGTGGAGGAGGGGGGGGTCGTAGAGGTTAGAGGAGTGGCGGGGGGGCTGCGTGCTGATTCTGCGTGACCCGTGGGTGCGGCGCGACTTGGTGGTCAGCCCCGAGTCGGACTGCCGGTCACCGCGAGCCGGTTGAGAGTTGACATCCTCGGAGCTCGAGACTGGGGACGTGGCGAGCACCTTGACGGTGGGGGGGGGGGGGGGGGGCGAGCCGCGTGATGATGATTTAAATAATAAATGCCGCTTAAGCTTGTTCGGAATCGGCTCGCGACGTTTCAAAGACTCATTTTCATGAGGGCCCTGCATTGGGATGTCTTGCCAATATGATTTACTAATCCACATGGACCCCCTTGACTACTCCACATGAACCCCTTGACTACTCCACATGAACCCCTTGACTACTCCACATGAACCCCTTGACTACTCCACATGAACCCATTGACTACTCCACATGGACACCTTGGCTACTCCACATGAACACCTTGACTACTCCACATGAACCCCTTGGCTACTCCACATGAACCCCTTGACTACTCCACATGAACCCCTTGACTACTCCACATGGACCCCTTGACTACTCCACATGGACCCCTTGGCTACTCCACATGAACCCTTTGACTACTCCACATGAACACCTTGACTACTCCACATGAACCCCCTTGACTACTCCACATGGACCCCTTGACTACTCCACATGAACCCCTTGACTACTCCACATGGACCCCTTGACTACTCCACATGGACCCCTTGACTACTCCACATGGACCCCTTGACTACTCCACATGAACCCCTTGACTACTCCACATGGACCCCTTGACTACTCCACATGGACCCCTTGACTACTCCACATGAACCCCTTGACTACTCCACATGGACCCCTTGACTACTCCACATGAACCCCTTGACTACTCCACATGAATCCCTTGACTACTCCACATGGACCCCTTGACTACTCCACATGAACACCTTGACTACTCCACATGAACCCCTTGACTACTCCACATGAACCCCTTGGCTACTCCACATGAACCCCTTGACTACTCCACATGAACCCCTTGACTACTCCACATGGACCCCTTGACTACTCCACATGAATCCCTTGACTACTCCACATGGACCCCTTGACTACTCCACATGAACACCTTGACTACTCCACATGAACCCCTTGACTACTCCACATGAACACCTTGACTACTCCACATGAACACCTTGACTACTCCACATGGACCCCTTGACTACTCCACATGGACCCCTTGACTACTCCACATGAACCCCTTGACTACTCCACATGGACCCCTTGACTACTCCACATGAACCCCTTGACTACTCCACATGGACCCCTTGACTACTCCACATGAACCCCTTGACTACTCCACATGAACACCTTGACTACTCCACATGAACCCCTTGGCTACTCCACATGAACCCCTTGACTACTCCACATGAACCCCTTGACTACTCCACATGAACACCTTGACTACTCCACATGAACCCCTTGACTACTCCACATGAACCCCTTGACTACTCCACATGAACCCCTTGACTACTCCACATGAACCCCTTGGCTACTCCACATGAACACCTTGACTACTCCACATGAACCCCTTGACTACTCCACATGAACACCTTGACTACTCCACATGAACCCCTTGACTACTCCACATGAACCCCTTGACTACTCCACATGAACCCCTTGACTACTCCACATGAACACATTGACTACTCCACATGAACCCCTTGACTACTTCACATGAACACCTTGACTACTCCACATGAACCCCTTGACTACTCCACATGAACCCCTTGGCTACTCCACATGAACCCCTTGACTACTCCACATGAACCCCTTGACTACTCCACACGAACCCCTTGGCTACTCCAGATGAACCCCTTGGCTACTCCACATGAACCCCTTGACTACTCCACACGAACCCCTTGACTACTCCACATGAACCCCTTGGCTACTCCACATGGACCCCTTGACTACTCCACACGAACCCCTTGGCTACTCCAGATGAACCCCTTGGCTACTCCACACGACCCCCTTGACTACTCCACATGAACCCCTTGGCTACTCCACATGGACCCCTTGACTACTCCACATGAACACCTTGACTACTCCACATGAACCCCTTGACTACTCCACATGAACACCTTGACTACTCCACTTGAACCCCTTGGCTACTCCACACGACCCCCTTGACTACTCCACATGAACCCCTTGGCTACTCCACATGAACCCCTTGACTACTCCACATGAACCTCTTGACTACTCCACATGAACCCCTTGGCTACTCCACATGAACCCCTTGACTACTCCACATGAACACCTTGACTACTCCACATGAACCCCTTGACTACTCCACATGAACACCTTGACTACTCCACATGAACCCCTTGACTACTCCACATGGACCCCTTGACTACTCCACATGGACCCCTTGGCTACTCCACATGAACCCCTTGACTACTCCACATGAACCCCTTGACTACTCCACATGAACCCCTTGACTACTCCACATGGACCCCTTGACTACTCCACATGGACCCCTTGGCTACTCCACATGAACACCTTGACTACTCCACATGAACCCCTTGGCTACTCCACACGAACCCATTGGCTACTCCACATGAACCCATTGGCTACTCCACACGAACCCCTTGGCTACTCCACATGAACCCATTGGCTACTCCACATGAACCCATTGGCTACTCCACACAAACCCCTTGGCTACTCCACATGAACCCATTGACTACTCCACATGGACCCCTTGGCTACTCCACATGAACCCCTTGGCTACTCCACATGAACCCCTTGGCTACTCCACACAAACCCCCGAGTGTTGATAATCACCCGCCCGTGGGTTGCCGTTGTTCCGTAGATCTGCTTCAACAACTCTCTACGTTCGTGTTGTCAATTGGAGTAAAGAGCGAGTTCAGGATAACTATGGAACGGATAAAAAGAATAAAACTTATTTAAACATAAAAAAATACATCCCACTCAGCTGCAGCACATCTGCTGCATCACAGCTAACCAAGTAACACTTTACGTTCGCTGCTGAATGTGCTTAATTATTTTTTCTATAAATAAATGTAGGGAATGGTTGTTGAGAAGAAAGGAGCTGCATTGGAATGAGTGGAGTCATTTCTCATCTCTCTTGGGGGCCTGGTGAGCTGGGGGGGGGGGGGGTCGCGGGCACTCAATCGAATAACAACAGCGACAGCCCAGATGATGATGCTGCTACTACTACAACTACTACTGCTGCTACTCGTATTACTTGTGTTGTTAATACTGATGCTGCTACTACTACAACTACTACTGCTGCTACTCGTATTACTTGTGTTGTTAATACTGATACTTCTGCTGCTACTGCTACAACTACTGCTGCTGCTGCTGCTACAACTACTACTGCTGCTACTCGTATTACTTGTGTTGTTAATACTGATGCTGCTACTACTACAACTACTACTGCTGCTACTCGTATTACTTGTGTTGTTAATACTGATACTTCTGCTGCTACTGCTACAACTACTGCTGCTGCTGCTGCTACAACTACTACTGCTGCTACTCGTACTACTTGTGTTGTTAATATTGATGCTGCTGCTACTGCTACAACTACTGCTGCTACAATTACTGCTGCCACTACTGCTCGTATTACTGATGTTATTAATACTGACACTTCTACTGCTTCTGCTGCTACTGCTACTATTATTGCTGCTACTAATGCAAGTATTACTGATGGTAATTATTTCTTCCAGAAGATTGATGCTATTAATACTGATTCTTCTGCTGCTACTGCTGCAACTACTGCTGCTGCTGCTGCTACTGCTCGAATGACTGGTGTTATTAATACTGATGCTTGTGCTGCTACTGTTACTATTACTGCTGCTACAGCTACTGGTATTGATGCCACTACCAATACTGCTTTTACTACAAATACTGCCGCTACCTTTATTACCACGGCCACTGCTGCTACCACCACCACGACTCCTCATGTGAGTTTCGCTGCTGCTGCTGCTGTCTCATCGCTCTCGTGTTGATGTATTTCGCTCCGTGGAGGAGGAAGTCTCGCGTAACTCCGCGCGCCACCGGAGTGGCCCTAATCGCGAGCAGATGGCGCTTGCCGACTACTGTACGGAGCTGATTGAGCATGAAATTGGGGGCTTTCTTACACGCGGAGAGGCCGTGTTTTGCGGGGCGTTTCGCCGCGCTCGCGCTCTGTCCAATCTCGTTAGGATGAAGCGCCGCGGATTTCGTTGCGAGCCGGCGCGGAGCCCCCCCCCCCGGCCCCCGCCACCCGCCGGGGGGTGGGGGCGGGGGTGGGGGTCGGGGGGGGGTGCTGGAGGTGAGTGGAGGAGAGTCCGGGGGTCCGGTCACGACGGCTGCCGCTCCATCTCCACGCCGCTGCTGCCGCCGTCGCCACCACGTCCAGAAAATTGGTCCCAGTGGGGGAGGGGGTGAGGAGGGGGGCGTCCCCCCTCCTCCTCTCTCCGTCTTACCCCCCCTCCCCACACTGCGTGAATCGCGCGTCCGACGCGCTTTGACGCAAAACGGGCGGTAATGGATCCGGGAGGGCCGAGCGTCAGCCGTGCCGTGCCCGGCACAATATGAGTCTTTGTGCGTGCGAGGTGCTGTGGAGGGGGAGGTGTGGCGGCGGGGAGAGGGGGGGGGGTTGCGGGGTGCGAAGGGGTGGAGGTTAAAAGAAGAAAATATTTCTCTCCTCTTAAAGTGAAAAAAAATAATATTGCGCATTCAGGAGACGCGCGCGCGCGCGAGTTTCCTGGCGAACGAGTCAACTCCGCGCGCGCGCCAGGGGGGTCACGTGCAGCGAGCGCCGCCGCCGCCGCTGCGGGAGGTCGCCTCGAGCCGCTCGTAGCTCGACAGCAGCAGCAGCAGCCCCGGGCCGGACGCCGCCTCCAGTGGCTCCGCGAGCTGCCGAACGCGGTCGGGTCGCGCTCTACGCCCAGTGGCGCGCTCCGCGGTCCCGTTGGCGGTGTCTGTGTCCATGTACTGTTGGAACTTCTTTTCGTACCGTACGTAGTCAACCGCGCTAATCGGAGGTGCGGGGGAAGGACAGGTGGAACGCCCGCCACCTGGTGTTGGTAGTAGTAGTATTATTATTATTTACCCAGGAGAGCCACACCGAGTCGTATGACTAGTTTCAGGAGGGTCCTGCCGCTACATTCGGTTTTTGTTTAAAGATGTTTTAAGCCAATGCATGATGATTTGTGTTTATTATACACGTACGGGAGAAATCCACGCCTTGTGCAACAGGGCAACACTCTATCCCCGTACAGATGGACACAGATGACGATTCATCCACTTGCTGGCGAGCCAGGATATCGCACCACCACGCCCACAGCATTTGTGTGCGGTGGTCCACCAACCCCCGCCGCTGCCTCTCCGGTGGTGCTGGGCTACAGTGCAGCAGTGCAGCAGGAGTGTAGCAGAGCAGCACTGCAGCTGCGCAGCAGTGCAGCAGTGCATTCGTGCAGCAGGGCAGCAGTGCAGTGCAGCAGTAGTGCAGCAGTGCAGCAGTGCATTCGTGCAGCAGGGCAGCAGTGCAGTGCAGCAGTAGTGCAGCAGTGCAGCACGCAGCAGCGCAGCAGTGCAGCACGCAGCAGCGCAGCAGTGCAGCAGCAGTGCAGCAGTGCAGCAGTGCAGCAGCAGTGCAGCAGCAGTGCAGCAGTGCAGCAGTGCAGCACGCAGCAGCGCAGCCGTGCAGCAGCAGCGCAGCAGTGCAGCAGTGCAGCAGTGCAGCACGCAGCATCGCAGCAGTGCAGCAGCGCAGCAGTGCAGCAGTGCAGCAGTGCAGCACGCAGCAGCGCAGCCGTGCAGCAGCAGCGCAGCAGTGCAGCAGTGCAGCAGTGCAGCAGTGCAGCACGCAGCATCGCAGCAGTGCAGCAGCGCAGCAGTGTAGCAGTGCAGCAGCGCAGCAGTGCAGCAGTGCAGCAGTGCAGCACGCAGCAGCGCAGCAGTGTAGCACGCAGCAGTGCAGCAGCGCAGCAGCGCAGCAGTGCAGCACGCAGCAGCGCAGCAGTGCAGCAGTGCAGCAGTGCAGCAGCGCAGCAGCGCAGCAGCGCAGCAGTGCAGCAGTGTAGCACGCAGCATCGCAGCAGTGCAGCAGTGCAGCAGCGCAGCAGTGTAGCACGCAGCAGCGCAGCAGTGCAGCAGTGCAGCAGCGCAGCAGTGCAGCAGTGTAGCACGCAGCAGCGCAGCAGTGTAGCACGCAGCATCGCAGCAGTGTAGCAGTGCAGCTGTGCAGCAGCGCAGCAGTGTAGCACGCAGCAGCGCAGCAGTGTAGCACGCAGCATCGCAGCAGTGTAGCAGTGCAGCTGTGCAGCAGTGTAGCAGTGCAGCTGTGCAGCAGCGCAGCAGTGCAGCAGTGTAGCAGCGCAGCAGCGCAGCAGTGTAGCACGCAGCAGCGCGGCAGTGTAGCAGTGTAGCACGCAGCAGTGCAGCTGTGCAGCAGCGCAGCAGTGTAGCACGCAGCAGTGCAGCAGTGCAGCAGCCCCCGCTGCCCGGCGAGGAGTTCGAGCAGCGGGCAGCGCGGGGCGAAGGTGACAGCAGCCGCAGCGTCGAAAAGGCGCAACTGGCGCGCGGCACTGATGGGCACATCGACCCAGCGATGATGCAAATCCAGGACACAACTGTGAACACACCTGCCTACTGATGCGAGGCCAGGTGAGGCATAGGCCGAATTCTGATCAAAGTACTGCACAGTACATGAAAGGTTGCAAGTTTATTTTACGGCCGGCCTATTATCCCTGCGAGTCGATAAAATGGTACCACTTAGTAGGAAGTAATTAGTGGTCGTCCTTTACAGAGACAATGGCCCCCGCCGTGGAAATGTGAAATGTCTGCCACTGGCTTCGGGTCCCAAACGGAGATGAGTAACTCCATAGTGCTGAACCACACGAATGTCTCCTGGACATCTCTGAAGAATAAAGATGTGTAGTTCATCGGACTCCTCCAACATAAAAAAAAAATCCTGATTCTGAACGCAGCCTTCTAAAGTCGAGGCTACGTCGACCAAGGCCGCGCGGTGCGGTTCATCTGTTCAAGCAAGCCGGACACCGCTGATGAGGCCAATGCTTGTCGAAGCCGGTCAAGAGTGTTGCTTGTGCTGAACAAGAGAACTCCAACACTGCAGACATTATACACTCCCAGAAATGCCGTGCGAACGATGGGATGTGCATGTTTATATGCACGAATTTATGTTTTACGCAAGAGAGACAAAGATGGGAAGCAGGAGCAATGTCTGATGTCTATTTATATAGTTCACCTGTGGGTGACTCTGCTCTCGGGGGGTGGACGTGACGGGGCCATCCACGCGCGCTCCGCGCCCTTGAGAGGTGGATGGGAAGGTGGGGGGGGGAGGGCTGATATCCTGCACCCCCCACCCGCCTCCTCCCCCCTCCCCCGCCCCGCGCCCCCTAAGCCACCCACGCCGCTTTCCCGGCTGCAGAGACGCAGCAGCAGCGGCAGCGGCGGCAGCGGCGGGTTACGGTTCCCAGGGCCGCTCGGTGCGGGCCGCGCTCCAGACCCAGACTCGTGTTTGTGTTGAGAGGAGTTCAAGCGAGAGAGGCTCGCGGGAGGCGCGGCGCGTGGGTGCAGCTGTGCGCACGCTGCTCCCCCTCGCTCCTCTCTGCACATCCCTGCTCCTCTGGGTTCCTCCGCACACATCCCTGCCCCCCCCCCACCCCCGCTTCCTCCCCTCTGCTACCACGGTGGCGAGCTGTTAATTACCTCGCCTGGTATACAGGGGGTCGTGGGCTCGATCCTGACCCTGACGCCTGCTGTATATTTGGAGTTTGCGTGTCTATCTCCCCGTGGTCACGTGGAATGTGTTTGCGTGTCCTCTGGACTTTCCCTCCACATTTAGAATCAACGTGCGTTTAGAGTATTCGGCTGCTCTACATTGCCACATGACAAGCCTCGCTCGGGACGGGACGAGCATGGGCGCCTCGCCTGAAGTCAACTCCGGGATGAGTCCCAAGACATATTTCAAAGAGGATCCTCCGTCGGGATGTTTTAACATTTCCTCGGTTAATGAATGCTTTGCGGAGTACCCAGAAGAACAACCCACGAACCCACTTGTTGTACTGCCCGCTATATTCCCTGAGCACCTCGCAACCCAACGGGTTTTTGGAGTCTCGCAAATCTGCGTGATTCACCAACCCTCGCATCCAAATCGCTGGATCACAGGCGCGCACTGCCACGCCCTACGACGCGTGTGCACGAGTGTGTGTGTGTGCACGAGTGTGCGTGTGTGCACGAGTGTGTGTGTGCGAGTGAGTGTGTGTGCACAAGTGTGTGTGTGCACGAGTGTGTGTGTGTGCGAGTGTGTGTGCACAAGTGTGTGTGTGCGAGTGTGTGTGTGCACGAGTGTGTGTGTGTGCGAGTGTGTGTGTGCACGAGTGTGTGTGTGTGTGCACGAGTGTGCGTGTGTGCACGAGTGTGTGTGTGTGTGTGTGCACGAGTGTGAGTGTGTGCACGAGTGTGTGTGTGTGCGAGTGTGTGTGTGTGCGAGTGTGTGTGCGAGTGTGTGTGTGTGCACGGGTGTGTGTGTGTGTGCACACGCTCACATTCACGGTGCGTGTGTCTGCTCCCCTGGACGTTCCACTTTGTGCAGTCGTTTCGATGCCCCCAGGGAGGGGAATGTGAATGTGTGCCCCACCGGGGAGACAAAGGTGGCCGGGGCATGGTAGTTTGCCCACCTACCCCCTCGTGTGCCGCGTCAGCCTTCACAGGTGCTCGCTAACTAGCACTTGCCCCAAGAGTCTGTTAAGGCTACACGGGTTATCTTTCTGCATGTGTGAGTATGTAAGTGTGTGAGTGTGGGCATGCCGTGCCTGCCGCGACCGATTGTTCAGAGTCATTGCGGGGCACCTTAGCTTGTATTTGGTGTGTGCACTGTACAGTAGACCTGTCTGTTGGTGTTCGCGAAGCGCACTTGCCCGCACGGCGCACTCGGCTAAAGAAGATATATTTGCCTGTGTGTGTGTATAAACACACACGCGTGTGTGTGTGTATATAAACACACTTAATTTATTTATCCAGCCATTAAAAGTAGCACTTGAGCTGCCGCGAGTCGAATGCGGAATGCGGCCCCCGTGACTCCGCGCCGCGCCGCCAGAAGCCGCAGCCATGAAGCCACGGGGCCCCGCGGGGTCTCGACGGGGCCCTGTGGGGTCTCGACGGGGCCCCGTGGGGTCTTGACGGGGCCCTGCGGGGTCTCGACGGGGCCCTGTGGGGTCTCGACGGGGCCCCGTGGGGTCTTGACGGGGCCCTGCGGGGTCTTGACAGGGCCCTGTGGGGTCTTGACGGGGCCCCGTGGGGTCTTGACGGGGCCCTGCGGGGTCTCGACGGGGCCCCGCGGGGTCTTGACGGGGCCCTGCGGGGTCTCGACGGGGCCCCGTGGGGTCTCGACGGGGCCCTGCGGGGTCTCGACGGGGCCCCGCGGGGTCTTGACGGGGCCCCGTGGGGTCTTGACGGGGCCCCGCGGGGTCTCGACGGGGCCCTGTGGGGTCTCGACGGGGCCCTGTGGGGTCTCGACGGGGCCCTGTGGGGTCTTGACGGGGCCCTGTGGGGTCTTGACGGGGCCCCGTGGGGTCTTGACGGGGCCCTGTGGGGTCTCGACGGGGCCCCGTGGGGTCTTGACGGGGCCCTGCGGGGTCTCGACGGGGCCCTGTGGGGTCTTGACGGGGCCCTGCGGGGTCTTGACAGGGCCCTGTGGGGTCTTGACGGGGCCCTGTGGGGTCTTGACGGGGCCCCGCGGGGTCTTGACGGGGCCCTGCGGGGTCTTGATGGGGCCCCGCGGGGTCTTGACGGGGCCCTGCGGGGTCTCGACGGGGCCCTGCGGGGTCTCGACGGGGCCCTGTGGGGTCTCGACGGGGCCCTGTGGGGTCTCGACGGGGCCCTGTGGGGTCTTGACGGGGCCCCGCGGGGTCTTGACGGGGCCCCGTGGGGTCTTGACGGGGCCCTGCGGGGTCTTGACGGGGCCCCGCGGGGTCTTGACGGGGCCCTGTGGGGTCTCGACGGGGCCCTGTGGGGTCTTGACGGGGCCCCGTGGGGTCTTGACGGGGCCCTGTGGGGTCTTGACGGGGCCCCGCGGGGTCTTGACGGGGCCCTGCGGGGTCTTGATGGGGCCCCGCGGGGTCTTGACGGGGCCCTGCGGGGTCTTGACGGGGCCCTGTGGGGTCTTGACGGGGCCCCGTGGGGTCTTGACGGGGCCCTGTGGGGTCTTGACGGGGCCTTGTGGGGTCTTGACGAGGCCCCGTGGGGTCTTGACGGGACCCTGTGGGGTCTCGACGGGGCCCTGTGGGGTCTTGACGGGGCCCTGTGGGGTCTTGACGGGGCCCTGCGAGGTCTTGATGGGGCCCTGTGGGGTCTTGACGGGGCCCTGTGGGGTCTTGACGGGGCCCCGTGGGGTCTTGACGGGGCCCTGTGGGGTCTCGACGGGGCCCCGCGGGGTCTCGATGGGGACCAACGGGGATCTTTACAGGGCCCCACGGGAGTATGTGAGGGTCCAGTGGGGGTCTTTACAGTTCGCAGTGGGGGGGGGGGGGTAGTTGCAGGGACCCATTGGGGCCTCACAGCGCACATTTGGAGACCATGAACTCAATTCCCTCGTATGGGAATGTGACCTCGGCAGAGGGGGGTCAGAGTCGGTGTCAGCGTCAGCGTCCGGGTTAGGGCCAAGGTTTATGGTCAGGGTGAGGATCGGAGTTAAAGGCGAGGCTAGGACCAAGGTTAGTGTCAGGGCGAGGGTCGCGGCTATGATCTGGGTCAGGGCCAGACTTGGAGGGTTGTGGTCAGAGTCGTGCCGCATGGTTCCAAACGAGGAGTGGCCACGATGGCTTGCGGGGCTCTACCCGACGCGCCGCGAGTGGTGCGGAGTTCGCGTGAAATCCGCAGTCGAGCGGGGGGACTTCTGCCTCGGCTTTCTCCGGCTTACGTCGGGAAGCGCAACGTTCGTGACGTCTGCGCAACAGCGAGGAACAAATTGCGCGACCCCGGAGACACAGAGCCCCCTCCCATCCCCTTCGCCGCCCCCCCCCCCACCTCACCCCACCCCCCACCCTCCCCGCCTCCCTCGTGTCGCTGCTGGAAAGGAAAACTCTCTCGATATTTTTGATTTCTCCATTTTCCAAGTTCCGGCCCAAAATAACAAATCCGTTCTCATGGTTTATTTATACGGACCAATGAAGACGAGGCATCGGCCACCCGCGATGCATTATGGGTGTAGATTTGATGTATTATATGGGGAAAGATAGTCCGCTATGAATAAATAGATGGGGAATGATGGGTAAAGCGGTATAATACACGTGGGTGTATATTTATATATATATATTGCATTATGGATGGGGAGAAGGGGTACAGTGGCGGTGTGGTTTTTGGTGTGGAATTGATGCATTGTGGGTATATAGATCGTGCGTCATGAGGGAAGATGGTGCATTGTGGGTAGGCAGTGCGTGGGGATTGGAGGGAGTGTCCTTAATTGATCTCTCACGCGTTTAGCGTTCCACTCCGCCTGCCGGGAGCTTCTCAAGCAACTCAATTTTCAATTATTAAGGAACCGAAAAAGCCCACAGCACATGAAGCAAAACGTTGGACATCGTGCCGAACAGCACGGACAGCCCAAATACACGACGCCACTACACTGGCATGGTGCGTAACGGTTAAAGAATAAGTGCATTACGGGTGGAGAGATGGCGCATTAGGTAGGGACGTGGAGTCTTAAGCCGTGAGTAACCGTCAAGGGGGTAGGGGGCGGGTGGGGTTTGGGGGTGAGGGATCGCGGGGGGGGGGGGGGGTCGCTGGCTAGCGGCGCAGAGCGCGCGTGGTCGGATGGCGCGTGCGCGAGCCGCGGACGTCTTGTTGATAATTCCTTAATTTGCCTGACGCGTTCCTGTAAAACAGCGGCTCCTGCGTGCAGCCCGACACGTGTTTACAGAGGCTCACACGTGAGCGAGAGCCGGGGTCAGGCCGCGTGATGGATCGGAGGAGCGGTGCGAGGGGTGAGCGAGGGCGGTGCTCACCCAGCGGAGACCCTCCCACCCCCACCACTGGCACTGGGCAGGTGCGGTGGTTGGTGCCCTCCTCGCTATTCCCCAGGTGAGATGCCCACGTGGCCAGCAGGTGAATTACCTGTTCGGGTGAATCCGCCAAAGCTGTTTGATTTCATCTGTCCTCTGGGAGAATAGCGGGATCCGAAATGCAGGAGTCGTAGTAGCACGAGTTAATGCGGTAGTCATAGGCGAGATGTTAACTCCCTCGCCTGGTGTGCAGGAGTCGTGGGTTCGATCCCGACCCTGACTGCTGCATTTTTTTTTCTGTCTCTTTCCTCGTCATAGCATGGATTTGTCTCTGGGTCCTCCGGGATTTCCCTCCACATTAGAAACATGCGTTTAGGATAGTCGGCTGCATATACATTTCCACGTGATGAGCCACTCCGTTGTGCTATTATTTAGGATAACCAGGTCCGTTCTGAAAAAAATAAATATAGATGGCTCAGTGGGCCTTACCTGGTGAAAAGATGTGCTTAGTTTCGAGTCTTATAACTCTCTTCAGGAGGGTACCGGAGTGGGATGTTTCGGTCAAATCGGATATTCGGTGGCACGTGAGAGGAACACGGAGCACCCCAAAAACCTCACAACGCCAACGAGAGCGGTAACACTCGTAGCGCCGCACACATTGATTCAATAATCCATTGCTGTACTGCCACCCCTTGGCCATCTCGAAATCCTCAGTCTCGCTATCTCTGCATCCCTCGCCTGGCCATCTCGTGTCCGACTCGTGGTCTCCCATCCACCAAGTGACGAGGCTCAACTCCGAAGGGACAACGAGTGGGTGACGCATCGTGCAGGGGGCGTGGATGTGAGATGCGGGGGGCAGTGGCCAGGATCCCCGTGGACTGCCCCCCTCCCCCACCCCCGGGACATCGGGCGAGTGCGACTGCAGAAACAGCAGCAATAATCGCAGCAACAGCTTCGGAAATAGCAGCATGAGCAACAGCTTGAGTAGGCTGAAAAAGTAGCACCAGCAGCCCGGCGGCAATTACCGTAACAACAACAGCAGCTACATATTGACTTAAAACTTTCGTGACTGCAGGAATTCATATTCTTGGTTCTTTCGGGAAAGTCACGTAGATAGAAAAAAATTTAAATGAAAAATATAATAAAATTAAATAAAAAATAGAAATAAAAAATAGAAAATATCTTGATTTTAAGCTTTCGTGACTGCAGGAATCCGTACTCTTTGGTTCTTGAAAATAATAAAAGCAATAAACCCACGACGTTTCGATCGCAACACAAGCGGTCTTCATCAGGCGGAGAAAAAAGAGGGGACGAGCCTCCAAATGCAGCTGCTTCTAAGGGTTTCCAAAGTGCCTTTACGTGACTATTTATCTCCGTGACTTTACCGAAAGAACCAAGAATACAGCTTCATCATCATCATCGACAACAACAGCAGCATGAGTGAGAACAGGAACAGCAGCAGCACCATGAGAAGCGGGCGCGCCTCTGCGGGGCACGGCTCCCAATGTAAACGTCTCCATCGCGGCCCATCAGACGGCCGGGCGCATCTGCCGCCGTCGCGGCTGTTTGGGAAATAAATTGAGAAGCCACTTAGTGGACATTACCCCCCTCCTCCTCTCATCCCCCAACCCCCTCCCACCCGCCCCCCCCCCAAGCAACGTCGTTAGCGCTGATGGCTTCCACATGCCGCGGGTCGCGCGGCGGGAACGCGGGCCCAGGGCCCCGTGTGTGTTTACCTTTCCCCGAGCTCCCATTCCTCTCCCAGGTTCCTCCTCCTCATCCGAGCAGCAGCGCGGCGCAGCTGAAATAATTCCTCTCCGTTTAAATGCCAGAGCCGCCACTTCTTTGACACTGTTTTGCCCAAGTGGGCAGCGCGCGCCGCGCTAATGTAAATCATCGGCACGCAAGCGCCGCTCCGCACGCGTAAACAGTGAGATATTCCGACAGCTACAGCTACCAGCCATAGAGCTACCCGCCCCTCCTCCTCCTCACCACCACCCTTACATAGCTACAACTACCAGCCAGGTTGAGTCAATCCATCAGCCCTTTTGGGCCGATAAAACAAGTACCACTCTGTGGGGAAGTCACCAATGGTTGCCCCTATGAATAGGCTCGCCCCTGCCATACGAACGTGGAATATTCCACCACTGGCTCAGAGCTGTCAACGGGAGATGAGCATCAATGTGCCACTGCTGCGAGCGGCGGCAAATCGCTCGGAGCGCGGCGACTCAAGCCCAATCGCAGCTCACGGCTCCCCGCTCGCCTCTCGCATCCACCCCCCGAAAAACTGTCTAAATAGTGAACAAACCAACATTCACGAAACAGACACGAAGTTTTGTCTGATCAGCGGGGGAGGGATGGAGGAGGGGGAAGGATCACGGCGCCGACGATGATGCTGATGATGACGCTCTGAGACTGATGATGAGATTGGTGAGTGCAGCCACGACGATGATGATGGTGATGATGATGACGACGATGATGACGCTCTGAGACTGATGATGAGATTGGTGAGCGTAGCCACGACGATGATGATGATGATGACGACGATGATGACGCTCTGAGACTGATGATGAGATTGGTGAGCGTAGCCACGACGATGATGATGGTGATGATGACGACAATGATGATGATGATGACGCTCTGAGCCTGATAATGAGATTGGTGAGTGTAGCCACGACGATGATGATGATGATGACGATGACGACGATGATGACGCTCTGAGACTGATGATGAGATTGGTGAGCGTAGCCACGACGACGATGATGATGATGATGACGACGATGGGCCACGCCGGTCGGGGTCGCGGCCTCCCTCGCCCGCTGAGCCCGGCTCCCCGCGCATCGGGTTCCCCAGGCTTATGCGAGGAAAGTGTCAGGAAATGGGCAATTTATTGCCAAATTCCGACTCGGGCCGCACTAATGGGCAGATGTGCGCGCTCAAGTGCAGCTGCGCAGCCTCCACTCCTCAAATTATTTGCGTTTGAGGAGAAACCAGAGGGAGGGGTGAGGGGTGGCTACATGTCACCAAGTAATTTTTTCCCTCTCTCATTAAAAGGTTGGTGGTGCTCCCTGGATGCGCCTCGGTAGGGACGCCCCGTGTAATTGACGCGAGTTGCTATTGTAATTAATTGAATAATAAGCACTGGGTAATGCGTTTAAAAAATGAAGTTAAATTGAAGGGTAGTAAAAAAAATATAAAGGAACGTTTCTACAGACTGCACGTGAAGGTTTATGAGTCGACTGTGGAACAGATGCGGGCGGGATCGAGCAGAAGGAAGGAAGTGATGCCCAGAAGTGGCGGTACGAACAGCGCTCTACGTGATGACCTCTTTAACCCATATTGTCCTGTATCACCCTTCATTTTCAATTGCACATAAAATCGATCTGAGACCCACATTCACATCGTAAGCAAACAACAACAGCAACGACAGCATTCGCAACAACGCTGTGTATTCATATCGCGGCTAAATGCATCTAGGAATCATTATCACAATCTATATATATACTGGAGGAATCCGATGAGCTATAAAGCTCATTTCTCAGAGATGTCCAGCATTTTTATCTCAACGAGCCTCTCTGAGTTGCTCCCATGGTTGTTCCTGGGGACGGGGGCGCTCTGTCGCGCCAATACAGTCGGCAACATTCTCCACCGAGCGCCACGGGACGCGCCCCCCCCCCCCCAAAGGGAACGGTGATCACCGAGTACCATCGACAGAACGAGGCCTCTAGCGGTTCGCGACTCGGACTGCGTGACCGAGTCAAGGAGCGCACCTCCACGATGGGAGCTGTCGCGTCCCCTCCCCTCCCCCGCGTTCTAGTGACGGACTCAGCGCCCCCCCCCTCCCCCGCGTTCTAGTGACGGACTCAGCGCCCCCCCTCCCCCACCACCTCTCCGAGCGCCTCTAACGCGAGAACCGCCGGGGTCTCTCCGGGAGGCTGAGCGAGCGGGCGCCGGCAGCAGCCACTCACGGGGTCCCCTCGCCCCCCCCGCCGCAGGGATGCGTGCCAAGGTGCGAAGGGGACGCGGGGAGGCGGCGAGGAGGCGCGGGTCTCCTCACTCACTCCGCCCTCTAACGATTTCCAAGAAGTGGCGGCCACCTGCACGCAGCGGCGAACAATCAGCGCCGCTCTGTGCGAGAAGGGGAGGCCTGTGCCGCCGCCGTGTGATGGTGTGACCCGGGGAGCGGGCCGCGTAATTGGAAATTTACCTTAATTCGACGCACATTTTCGCCAAAATTCTACCGCTCTCCAGCTTTCACGCTTGATGCAATTCCCCCTCCCTCCCGCCCGCCCTCCCTCCCTTTCTTCTCGGCTCCCACGCACTCGCCCCACCGCTTCGTGCGCGTCGCTGCTAAATATACTGCACCGCGTTTTATATATTTTGGCGAAATCGCCGGGGCGCTTCGCCCCGGCGATTTGTTCCCCTGTTGCTGCTGCCGCTGCTGCTGATGCTGACGTTGTTGTTGTTGTTGTTATTTGTCCCGTCCCCACTTTGTTTCCCGCCAAAAAAACCTCAAGACAAAACATTCACCAACACGTGACTGTCCGACTGGCGCACTTCCACGGAGACCACGGGCCACAGCGAGGGGACGTATCGTGTCGTCATCGTCGTCTTCGTCGTCGTTCCGCGCGCCCTGGGCCCCTAAAAAGGGGTGCGATGGTCGTGCCCGCCGCTCGCCAGCATCCGGGGCTCCCAAGGCGCGCGAGACGCTCGTGGTGTCTGCCCCCCCCCCGCCGCGCCCACCTGCGTCAGGTGCACCCAGCCGGGCACCCCGCGGGCACGCGGCGCAGACAGAATTGTTTCCCCCCACGGGCGAGTTGGTTTAAGTGGTCGTCTCTGCTTTCAGACACGGGCTCAGCCGTCACTCACGGGGCGAGGGAGGCGGCGGTTGTCGAGGAAGGCTACGGCGGGAGGGGTGCGGGCGGGGGGGGGGGGTCAAACCTCCACCGCCCCAGGGGGCCCCTCGTTAGTGGGCGAGGCGGCGCTGCGTGGGACGCGACGCGGCTCTGATTGTCACGGCCTTTGTTGCGGAGGCGCCGCGCCCGAGAGAAAATGAGCGAGGAGCCATTAGAACACACAAACGGTCACAAAAAAATTAGTTGATTGACGCGCGTTAAAAGGGGACACAGCACTCAGATAGTTTGATGTGCACATTCCGGTGCGTGTGCGCGCGGTGCGTGTGTGCGTGCGGTGTGTGTGCGTGCGGTGTGTGTGTGCGTGCGGTGTGTGTGCGTGTGTGTCTGCGTGTAAGAAAGACAGAGACTCCGCTCGGCCGAGTCGGTGTTAGCGAGCACCTATTGAGGCTGCAGCGGCGCACGCGGCGGTGGCAATCGCCCACGCCCGGCCTGCCTGCGTCTCCAAAAGTGCTGAACATTTACACAGTTTTACCGAGGGATTCGTTTTAATGCCCAGGACCGATTCAGGTAGTCACGACCGATGTTAACCGTAGGCGGGCATTCGAATTTGGGAGGCTGGGTTCGTCGCGCAGCACGCTATCCGCTACGCCACCGCTCCCGATGTGATGCACACAACGCTCGCTGCTGGCGGCGGCGAAGCACGCTTAGGATTCAACGCAGAACTCAGGTGGCTGCGATACGAGCAGTTGCTTATTGTTGAAACGTTGGAGTGTTTATAGCAGTGGCAGTGCTGCGTGAGCGCGCACGCCTGTGTCTCGTGCACAGCACACGCTGTGATGCCTGACCGCTTAACCGACCAATGAACTGAAAGCATTCTAATTCTCATCTGTTCATAACAAAGACCCCCCGCCCCCTCATAGCCCGAGCAGACTCTTGAGGCACGTGCTCTTAGCGCGTAGCACCTGTGAAGGCTGGCACGGTACACGAGGGATGGTGGCCAGCACCACGCCCGGTCGCCTTTGTCTCTCCAGTGGCGATGTTTATACATCGCACCAGGTACTCATTTTAGGCTGAGTCAAACTATGGGCGACCCAGGACCGGTTCAGATAATCGTCACTGGTGTTGGCCGTGAACAGGAATCGAACTCGGTTCACCGGTTTCGTAGCGCAACGCGCTGGCCGATGCACTACCGCTCCCCTCCCCCCAACACTCACGTCCACACACGCGCGCGTTACCGCTTTCAACACAGCGGTCAAATCCGAATTCGTGACCGACAGATTTCGATTTGCACGTGATGGTCCTTTCAATAGCCTCGGTATCTAGCAGAAGGAAGGAAGCGATGGCGAGGTGGGGGGCGGGGGGCCTCAACGGTATCGGTGGTGATGTGAATCTTGAGAATAGCGTTCACAGAGATATCCATTTACACTCATCATCATCATCGCATTCAACGAGTAAAATGCATTTCATGAAAGCGAATAAGGTTAAGCGTTTTAAATGGAGCCCTGGAGGCGTGATTCATCACTGGGGGACCGCGCGTCACTCTGGATGATGAGTGCGAGAGAGAGAGGGGGGGGGCGATGCGTGATGGGTCCGTGCCACGGCGAGCGGCGAGCGCATTGCGTTGATCCTGCACACAGCCGAGCGGGGTCACTGAGGTCACGTGTAGAGCGTGGCCCGCGTGTCTCTGTGTCATGTAAGTCACGGCTTCCTTTGTGTCGCGTGTGTCTCCGTGTGTACCTGTGTGTCAGTGTCTCTATGTGTCAGTGTCCCCGTGTGTCTCTGTGTGTCAGTGTCCCCGTGTGTCAGTGTCTCTGTGTGTCCCGTGTGTCCCCGTGTGTCAGTGTCTTTGTGTATTCCCGTGTGTCCCCGTGTGTCAGTGTCTTTGTGTATTCCCGTGTGTCACTGCCTCGTGTGTCACTGTCCCGTGCCCCCCCCCCCCGTGTATCTTCCCGACCGGCGCGCTTGGCTCTGACCGTGGCTGCAGGGCGCTGGGTAACGATGCCGCCGCGCCGCGCTGTGCGTGACGTGCGGGTGACGTGGAGACAAAGGCGGCAAGGGGAGATTGATGACCTCCCTGCAGCGAGGGCTGTCCCAGCCTCCCCCCCCCCGCACTGCCCGGGCCAGGACCCCCTCCCCCCCCCCCCGCCCGCTCCCACTTCTGAGAGCGCTTAACGGCCACGACGGCCACGACGGCTTAATGAAGAGCAATGCCCCCCCACCCCCACCCCACCAAACCAAACACCCCCCTCCGTGCCCCCCCACCCCCACCCCACCAAACCAAACACCCCCCTCCGTGCCCCCCCACCCCCACCCCGCTTCCAATTCACAGACACGCTCCTCGGGGCTGCTGGGGAGAGAGATCACGGCCACTGACGCCACCACACCTCGCCATGGTGTCCTCCCACAATTGCGCAGCAGTTGACACCCGGTGCCCTCCGCGGTGCCCTCCGAGGTGGGCTCCGAGGTGGGCTCCGAGGTGGGCTCCGAGGTGCGCTCCGAGGTGGGCTCCGAGGTGGGCTCCGAGGTGGGCTCCGAGGTGGGCTCCGAGGTGGGCTCCGAGGTGGGCTCCGAGGTGGGCTCCGAGGTGCGCTCCGAGGTGGGCTCCGAGGTGGGCTCCGAGGTGCGCTCCGAGGTGGGCTCCGAGGTGCGCTCCGAGGTGGGCTCCGAGGTGCGCTCCGAGGTGGGCTCCGAGGTGGGCTCCGAGGTGCGCTCCGAGGTGGGCTCCGAGGTGGGCTCCGAGGTGCGCTCCGAGGTGGGCTCCGAGGTGGGCTCCGAGGTGGGCTCCGAGGTGGGCTCCGAGGTGGGCTCCGAGGTGCGCTCCGAGGTGGGCTCCGAGGTGGGCTCCGAGGTGCGCTCCGAGGTGGGCTCCGAGGTGCGCTCCGAGGTGGGCTCCGAGGTGGGCTCCGAGGTGGGCTCCGAGGTGCGCTCCGAGGTGGGCTCCGAGGTGGGCTCCGAGGTGCGCTCCGAGGTGGGCTCCGAGGTGGGCTCCGAGGTGGGCTCCGAGGTGGGCTCCGCCGGTCTCAGCGCATCACGCTGACGATGGGGCCCACGACGGTGAGCAGCCTTGGCAGTAGAAGTCACGTGTTAACGTTCATGGGTGCCACGGTGGCAAGATGTTAACTACCTCGCCTGGTATACAGGAATGCGTAGGTTCGATCCCTACCCTGACGACGGCTGTATATTTGCAGTTTGCGTGTCTCTCTCTCTCTCTCTTCCCGTGGTGAGATGCTAGCTACCTCGCCTGGTATACAGGAGGTCGTAGATTCGATCCCAACCCTAACGCCTGCTCTATATTTGGAGTTTGCGTCTCTCTCTCTCTTCACGGTGGCTTGGAGATGTGAACTACCTCGCCTGGTATACAGGAGGTCGTAGATTCTATCCCGACCCTAACTCCTGATAATTTAGATTTTTCTCCGGGTCTTCCGGGTTTTCCCTCCGCGTTTAGAAACACGCGTTTAAGAGAATTTGGTTGCTATAAATATCCACATGATAAGTGACCAGGTCGCTTCATAAAAAAAGTTATACAGCTCAGTGGACCTTATCTAGTAAATACAAATAGATTATAGTTGTATAGTGTATGTTTAAAACAAGACATTGGGGCGAAATAGATCTTAATATTGTTTGATATATATACATAACACAGGTTTGTTGGGTTAGATCACGTAAATAGAAATGTGTTGTTAAACCCGCCACCACCCGACACAGCCAACTAGTAAGGGTTGTCACGTAAACATTAACGTGCCAATTCGTCACTAGTATAGCACACCGGTGTGTTGGAGAGCAAATCCACACCATTTACAATCTGAGTACGACGTTTCGCCAGTAATTACAACGGGCATCATCAGGAGAAACAGCCAGATTTGTGAAAAAAATCATCCTGTTTCGTTTCTTAAGTAGAGGGGTAAATGTGAGGACGTCACTTTGGCTTCTCACTGAAACACGCGGGCATCGCGTAGGGTGGAGCGTCACATGGCACGTGGTGGATGAGACTCCGGGCAATGTTCCTGGCGTTGAGAACGAATCTGGCGCTCGTCCCGCGGCTGATTGCGGAGGGCGGATCCACAAACACCCCAGAGCCGTGACTGCCGGTGGAGGAGTGCCCGCGGCCGCCTGGCGCGTTGATGTCGCGATGTGAACCGAATGAAGGGGCTGCGTTGGCAGTGCGGGCAGCAAGCACGATATGTAAATAAATACAAACAAAAGCGACACGGACTCACCGCCACATGTTTACCAACTTCGCGATTGACACCTCGTTGGAACACAGACTAACGTTTCGGGTAATGCCCCTCTTTCAAAGCGCTATATACTATTTTTTGCTCTTCTCCCACTGAGGTTAATTGGCCGAAATGTGGAGATGTCCAACTCGTGTTGGTGTGTTGGTCATGTTTAATTGGGCGCGCCCACCAACCCCCCGCCCGCCTCCTCCCCTCGCGAGCGCTTTCATCATCGCCATCATCATCGTCGTCCCGCTCCCAGCTCGCGGAACAAAGTGGGGAGAGGAATTCACCCGAGATGAAAGCGCGGGCGGCAGGGACGCAGCAGCCTCCCCCACCTCCTCCCCACCTCTACCTCCCCCACCTCCTCCTCCTCCCCCACCTCCTCCCCCACCTCCTCCCCCACCTCCTCCCCACTTCTACCTCCCCCACCTCCTCCCCCACCTCCTCCCCCACCTCCTACTCCCCCACCTCCTCCCCACTTCTACCTCCCCCACCTCCTCCTCCTCCCCCACCTCCTACTCCCCCACCTCCTCCTCCCCCACCTCCTCCTCCACCTCCTCCCCCACCTCCTCCCCACTTCTACCTCCCCCACCTCCTACTCCTCCCCCACCTCCTCCCCCACCTCCTACTCCCCCACCTCCTCCCCACCTCTACCTCCCCCACCTCCTCCTCCACCTCCTCCCCCACCTCCTCCTCCCCCACCTCCTCCTCCCCCACCTCCTCCTTCTCCCCCACTTCCTCCTCGTCACCCTCCTCCCCCACCTCCTCCCCCACCTCCTACTCCCCCACCTCCTCCTCCATCTCCTCCCCCACCTCCTCCTCCCCCACCTCCTCCTTCTCCCCCACTTCCTCCTCGTCACCCTCCTCCCCCACCTCCTCCCCCACCTCCTACTCCCCCACCTCCCCCTTCTCTTCCTCCGGGCGCTCATCTTCTTTCTCCTCGCGCGCGGGAGAGTTTATCTGGGCGAGCTGGGTAAGTCAGTGCCCAGCAGTGTCTCACTGACTCGTCACACTGGCCGATTAGATAGATTGGCTGACGCTTTGAGGGACTGGCAGATAGTGGCTATAGGGACTGAATGACACTGCCAAGACAGACTGACAGATACTGACTAGAGGAACTGGCTGACACTGACGGGACTGACGGGCAGACACTGGCTAGACATATTGTCTGCTTCTGACTATGCAGACTGGCTTCCATGTGACTGACAATGCTGACTGTCTCTTCCTGACTAGGCACACTGTTTGGAGCTCACTTTGCAGGTTGGCCGGCGCTGACTACGTGGACTGTCTGACGCTGACTCGGCGGGACGGCTCGGTGAAACATTGTTGCCCTGAAAGTCCGCGCCGATTCGAGTCGTCGTGGGCCCACGGGAGTCGGAGGGGCGAGCGCGCACGAGCGACAAGTCCATGCCGGGAGCGGAGGGACGGAGCGGGGTGGCGCTGGCCAGAGGGGAGAGCGCTGGGACTGGGATGGGGTTACAGGTTGTGGTTACCTCGGACCAAATGACTCGGAACGCGCCCGATCCTCGTCGGATGTCGGAATCTGAGCAGGGTCGAGCCTGGGTAGCTCTGGGTGGGTGACCGCCACGCGCCGACAGGGTGCGGGGGCCTCGTGGCGGGCAGCAGGGGGAAGTGCGGCAATGCATCTCCTGTCGCGATGCACTTCGACGCTTCCGCCTTCACCGAGCGGCGTCACTCCGCGGCGGGGAAGCGTGGTCAACATGACCCCCACGACTCGCGCGCGCGGGGGCGAGGAGTCCCCTCCCTCCATCCAGCAGTCGAGTGAGACACAAAGAGCTGCACACGTCGAGAGAGATCATTCGGGCCGGTGGGATGGAGAGGCTTTCGATTGGCCGCGACACCGGCTCTGCGATGCATCGCCTCTCTCACCACCACTACCCCCCCCAACACCCCCCCCCCAACACCCCCCCACTCCCACCCAGCTGCTGCCGCTGCCCACGTGCGACTGCGCGCCGCGTGAGAATCCCTCCTCTCCTCCCCGCGCCGCGTGAGTGCCCGTGGTGAGTCAGCGTCAGCCGCCAGGGCCGCTTCTTCTTCTTCCGCACGGCTGCTGATGTAGCAGCAACGACAATCTCGCATTCAAATTGTCAAGCCAGACAGCCGCGTCACGAGCAGCGGAGTGTATCGCTGAGATGTCCCCTGAGCATTTGTGGATCGCGCATTGCGTCGTTGTACTGTCTGTTTGGAATGACCACGGTCGCACACTGGAGAGATTTACATTTTCAATTTGCGCATCAGGTATCCGCATCCACTGCCATGGTTTGTGCGCATGCAAATTTAGGATGGACCACGAACTTCGTGGAAGATCAAACCCCAGGGGATCTTCTGCGATCGGCGTGTGGGGCCAAGTGATGGGCCTCGTGTCCCCACCGTGGGCGCGCGGTCATTGCAGTCCGTGGCGGCGTCCAACGCTGCGAACGTGACCCCCTGTGACGATCTGGTGACCCCCTGTGACGATCTGGTGACCCCCTGTGACGATCTGGTGACCCCCTGTGACGATCTGGTGACCCCCTGTGACGATCTGGTGACCCCCTGTGACGATCTGGTGACCTCCTGTGACGATCTGGTGACCCCCTGTGACGATCTCGTGACTCCCTGTGACGATCTCGTGACCCCTGTGACGATCACGTGACCCCCAGTGACGATCTCGTGACCCCTGTGACGATCTCGTGACCCCCTGTGACGATCTCGTGACCCCCTGTGACGATCTGGTGACCCCTTGTGACGATCTCGTGACCCCTGTGACGATCTCGTGACTCACTGTGACGATCACGTGACCCCCTGTGACGATCACGTGACCCCCTGTGACGATCTCGTGACCCCCTGTGACGATCACGTGACCCCTGTGATGATCTCGTGACCCCTGTGACGATCACGTGACCCCTGTGATTATCTCGTGACCCCTGTGACGATCACGTGACCCCCTGTGACGATCTCGGGGGGGGGGGGAGGGGGGGGTCTCGGCTTGGGAGCTGCTAGAGAGGCGCCCGCGTGGAATGCGGCTCTCGGCGACTCAGCCCGGGGTCGTGGGGGGCGATGTGAGGATGCGAGGAAGGGTTTGTGAGTCAACGCGCAGAGCCCACGGGGGGACTCCGGTGCTGGGGTTGTGCGCGTGCGTGCAGAGTTCGCGTGGTTGCGGGCATCGAGTTCTGTTCAGGTTATAGTGGCAGTAAAAGAGCGAGCCGATTGCGCTATCAACCTTCTATTCCGAGTCCCATTCCCGGTCAAGGATATGACAAGTGGTCAATGTTTATCTGAACCTGTCCTGGACCTCGCCGAGGTCGACTCAGCTGTGCGTGAGTGCCCGCTCTGCAGCGGAGAGACATCGCCACGAGAGAGGCAAAAGCGGTCGGGGGTGGTGCTGGCCACCCACCCCCATCGTGTGAAGTGCCGACCCTAATAGGTACTCACTAACTGCCCTTGCAGTTAAAGTGTCTTCAAATGCATAGGGCATCTTTGTTACGATCGTGTGTAAATGTGTCGTTGTGTAAACGTGTGTGTGCAAGTGCGTAAAGTAGCGTGCGGTTCTGTGGTTGCATTGTTCTGTGGTTGTGTGTGTTACATCTGCATTATGCATGTTTGTAGTTGGGTGGTTGGTGGTTGAACCGATCCTGGGCCTGCTCAAGGTCGACTCAGCCTTGAATAAGCACCTGGTGCGATGTGTGAATATTGCCACGAGGGAGACAAAGGCGGCTGGTGCCCCTCAGTTGAACACCCAGGCTTTCGCGACCAATATCCATAACAGAAGTTTGCTTGGGTTAGATCGCGTAAATAAAATATAAAGATGCTCCTCGCTAAC